GAAATACCAATCAAGTCTCTAACTTTATTCTTTTAAGCAGGAGACTTAGTGCATCATATGTGACTGACGAATTTAATTGATAAAATCCATTAATAGTAATAGAATAATTGATAATATATATATAAGAATTATCCTATATATTATGTTTTTCGAATATTTACTGGGAGAAGAAAATTGGAAAATCCTGCTCAAAATGACAAGATTGTTTCAAATCTTACAAAAATAAGGTCGTGGGTCGGATATTAATTTTATTATTTCTTATATTTTATGTTTTAAAGGTCTCATTTTCCTTTAAAATAATACAAAGAGCGAGAATTTTGACCAAACATACATGGTATATAATATATTATAAAATATCCTACTTTTAATTATGCATAAACCAAAACATATTCTTTTGAAAAGAAATACATACACCAAACATTTCCTTATAATTTTATCTTATTTTAAACTCCCTTGGTCCCCTTTTGTTTATCCTCTTTGGACTTTCAAAAAAAAAAATTACATCTTTATGACAATATTGATGTACAATATTGTTTTTTAATCACAAAAAGTAAAAATAAAAAATTAATTTGGAACATCAAAAAGGGGAGAGCAATACATGTTCATATAATTTGAAAATTCTTAACAAAAAAAAATGAATAAAAAATACAGAACGGAACAACAGTTTTTCATGATTTTATATATTACACTAATTATATGAAATGACCCGTTATTCGACTTAGTTCTTCAATATTTAAGATTTTGGTTGGTAATATAACTTCAAGATTATTTATCTAGATCTACTAAATTTCACCAAATTATATAATTAGGTGATTTTTTTTTCATTTAACAATTTTTTGATCATTTTTAATTAAATTTTTTTATTAATAAATTTCTTCAAAATTTCATCGAAAAATAACAAAATTAATTTCCATAGATAATCCGATGAAAATTCATTAAAATTTTTAATGAATTTTTTTTATAAGAATAACCAAATTTTTTTATAGTGTATCACAATTAGTTATGAGCTAAATCAAAGAAAAAAAAATCTGTTACCTAATAAAAAACTACACTAATCAATTAAGAAACTAAAATTTAACGAGGGAAAATACATCTGGAATTGCGTTGAATCAGGTTTGCACTTTGGAATAGTCAATTGAAATTTTTGTTTTCCCATCATTCGTTAATAGATAGTGCTAGCTTCGTGAACGGACGCCATACCAACTAATCATTCACTGAGTAATTAACTACTATTTGAAAAGAAAAGAAAAACAAAAAATAATTATAATCTCTCATAAACCTCGGACAAGTCAAAGACAACCTACGATTAATAGTTAAGTAGAAGAATAGCAAATATTACTAAACACAAAGAACGAGTATTTTGAGAATAGCAAATATTACTAAACACAAAGAATAGCAAATATTACAACATTAAACTAAACACAAATTATTGGCATGTTTTTTCACTCTTTGGACAATAATCAGTGACGGAATTAGAATTTCGTATTTGGGGTTAGAAGAGTTGAAGAAAATATAAAACAATTTATATGAAAAAAATTTATATAAAAATATACAAACAAATTTGAAAATCATTCAAAAAATCAATCTTAATAATTTTTTTAAAAAAATTAACTAGTATAATCATACATGATTTAATAATGATAATAATCTCAATTTTTAGATAAACTTAACAACAAACAAAAATTAACAAATATAATAACAAAAATTTCAATGGAAAGCAATTCATTAAAAAAAATTAAGAGCTATCAATAAATAATTCAATGAAAAGCAATTCCCTAAAAGTAATCACAAAAATTAAAACACCATATCAATAAATAATTCAATGAGAAAGCAATTCTGAATAAAAGATTTAATTGTTCATAAAAATATAAGCAAATAAAAAAACACAAATAATTTATAGAAAAGCAATCAAATAATCTCTAAATAAATAAGTAATAACTAACATTAAGTACTTAATCGAATTCTTGTTTAGTTGCTTTTAACAAAAATAACTAAGATGGTAAATCCTAAATTAAAATTACCAAATAAAATTATTAAATAAATATGGGAGAGAATTTCTCCTCTTACCTCTCAATCAATCTTTCTCCTTCTTTCCACCCTCTTCAACAACATTCTTTGAAGAGTTCAATCCCACACTTTTCGCAAGTGATAGACATTTTATCAATCTCTTCCATGAGTGATGAGAATTGCTCCCAAGGAGAAAGAAGAGTTTCCTTTGGTCATAATGAAGTGCAAAGAAGAGGCAAAAGAAGCCGCGATGATAGCCAAATACAAGTTTTGTGACATTTTTTTTTGGGGTTTGTGATAAAGGAAAGGTTAGAGGAAAATTCTCAAAAGAATCAATAGAAAGGTGGTGGCGGAGGTGAAGCGTATGACACACCAATTACTGGTGGCAATGGCCCCTCACTTGCAGGAGCTGGCGGTGGCGGGCTTTCATAAATAATTGGCGGTGGTGGGGGAGGTGAATGGTAATGAACTGGTGGTGGTGGTGAGGAATACATTACAACCGGTGGTGATGGAAGGGAAGGTGATGGGGGTGGTGGAGAGTACTCTACACATGGGGGTGGAGGTGGAGGTGGTTCTATACATGGCGGAGGTGAAGGTGGTGGTGGAGAATGGACTGGAGGATGTGGGGAATAAACAGGAGGTGGTGGTGGCAGTGAATAATGGGGTAGTGGTGGGGAGCTATAGTAGTAAGGAACTGGTGGTGGAGGGGAAAACATTGGAGGTGGAGCAGGTGGTGAATTTGGTGGCGGAGGAGGTGGGGACCTCACGCAATATGGAGGTGTTGGAGTTGGTGAAGGCGGTGGGGGTGACAGATAAGTAGGTGGTGGTGGCGAAGGTGGGGCAGGCGATGGTGCCTATGTTTTTCTTTTCTTCTTGCAGCTCCTGCGGATGCAGCTCGAATTCACTACATCCTTCGCAGCTTTGGTTGTGCATTCTTTTACTCTTACCCATATCGAACTAAACTAGGAGCTCTATTTTCACTCAAGCAAGAACCCTGCGGAGACTCTGTTGTTCCCTGGTGTTGCATCCAATGTGCACTTTGTCAAGAGTATAGGGAGCTTAAGAGCCCCGGACTCGACCCCTCTATAGGTAAATTTAAATAAGAAATAAAAAAATAAATTATTTATTTTATATACGAAATACTAATGGCGGCGGCTTTTCTCCTTACTGAAAAAAAGGTTGGGCGGCCAATGCTGAGAGGCTGAACCGAAACGGAAGAAACCCGCCTGCGGTTGAGCCAGGCATGTCTTGTTTATCAAGGCTTGCGTCGCGCGCTGTTCTTCGTTTCGTTTATGATCAGTTTGTTCTTCACTCTTCGTCGTCCGATGGCGTGATGTTGTCTGTTAAATATAAATGAGGGGACAGCTAGCGCGATATGTGCTTTGATTTTTAATTTTATTTTCAGTTCTATAAACTATTATTTTTTATATTGAACGGTTGTAAATTTCGATGGTGGATCTTTCTAGATATTGAGGTTTCACATGGTAAAAGATAATGAAATTATCTCTATGCATTTGAATTATTTTATGATCTAAATTAATTTTCCTTTATTTTTATCAAAATATTTGTCTTTGGCACGGGTTTTAAAAAATACGTAGCTTGCACATTTATTTAATTTTATGAATTTTTTTTATTTGTCGGAAGTGAGATTGCATCTTGTCTTTTTCCTACATTTGCAATTGCCATGTCAACAAGAGGTGTCATGTCAATTTGATGATAATATCACATTAACATATTGAATAATTAAATTTAATAATGTTAAAGTTAAATAATGAAATTAATAAATTGACAAAGCATAAAAATTCCATTTACACAAATTATTATTTAAAACTAAACTCATACTTTATGTAGAGTACATAGATTAATTACATAATTTATTTTTTTTCTTTTGTATAATTTAAAAATTTTTAGTTGAGATGATGGGTTTATTTTATTATATATATATATATATATATCATAGTTAAAGATATAGATTAATTATTCATTCACAGTCATTGATTATGTAAGCATTTATCATGAATTTTATATAAAAATTTGATAAATTCCTATACAGTTCTTGATTATGATAGAATAATTATAAAATCGGCTATTTCGCAATGACTTGAAAAAACTTTATCATAATCTATATTGGTTTAGTTAATTCTCAATTCTATTTGAGAAAGAGTCAAATTATTAAAACTCCATCTTTCAATAAAATTTTTTAAACGCAACTTGAAAATAAATATTTGTTAGTAGGTATTGCTGTGAAAGAAAGTTTTGCTGGATAGGGACTTTAAATTCAAAAATTAAGTGGTCAAAATTAAACTTGCATTGACATTTTGATAAAAAATAATAATTTTGGGTAGGTAACAGACAAATTCCAACTACTGGCATGGTCAAGTACTCAACAAAAAAAAAAAAAACTTTAGTTCAGACCATCTATGCAAGAGAATTGAATCCAAATTAATATGTAGGTTTATACCTTATTACAGTCATTTCTTTACCACATGAAATAACTTCGAATTAGTAGTAGCTACAAGTTTTACATAACCGTATTTTTCTTTTATTTTAACAAAATGAATTTCAACTTGTGATTTTTTTTTTATATAATTTTCTCTTGTACCGTAAATTTTTAACTCTTTTTTATTAAAATTCATACTCGAGATCCTCAAATTAAAATTTCATATTTTTTGGGAAAAAAGAGAGAAAAATGAAAAAAACCTAAGACTCAAAATTTCATTCCTTGAGCAAAGTTGGAATTCTATATTCCTTGGTAGGAAAGCCTTAGACTACAAAGCAAGAACACCTTTGCCCATCCCTACATGATGCTGACAGTCTAATATAAATAAATAAGTAAATTATTACTATCAAATTGGGTCTCATTAGAGTATTACATTTTTAATTTTAACTTAAGTAGATATATTCAAAGTTTTCTCAAGCAAAAATTCAAAGTAGTTCCATTATAGTGTTGCTACCCTTTCATTCTAATTTCTAGTGATTCTTTGATCACTAAAATGTGTCCAAATAATAGCGGAAACCCAAGGTCAACTCCACCGAACGCACCGCCAGCAGCGGCTGAGCTGCCACCATATTCCCCTCAACCGATACCTAATTTTGCTCCTACGGCTCCGGTCGTGAGCAAACCAAGCGAATGGTCCACCAGCCTCTGTAGCTGCTGTGAAGATATCTCCAGCTGTGAGTCCCCCCCTTCCTACATCCTGCTTTGATTTTCCTCTTTTCCTTTTTGTCTTAAAAATTTTCTTGAATAACTCTATAAATAGCAAATTTAACCCCTTTGTTTCTCTGCTTCAAGGTATCACTACCTGCTGCTGTCCTTGCATCACATTTGGCCAAAATGCCGAGATCATAGACAGAGGAACCACAAGTAACTCCCCAATTCAATCTCTTATCCATAATATATAATAAGACTATTAGTTTAGCCAAAGAAATTATCAGTTTAAGGTTTTCAAATTAAACCGTTGGTTTATAGATAAAATACGAATTTCTTAATTTATATAAATTGATTTTAAATTAAACGTTTATTTTAAAATTTAAAATTTAATATGATATTAGAACAAAGATTTTTTCCATTCACTCATCCGTTTGTAATAGATTTGTTATTCCTACCTATGAAGAAGCTCATGCCATTGAAATTTCTGTTCTCTATTTGCACTAATTTTTCAATTTTTTGGTTTTGCAGGTTGTGTTGGAGCAGGCCTGGTCTACTATTTGCTGGCTCACGCCTGCTGTTCGTGCTTGTACACATGCACGTACCGAAAGAAATTGAGAAGCCTCTTCGGGTTGAAAGAGGAGCCTTGTGCTGATTTCTTCGTTCACTGTTGTTGCCACTTCTGCGCCATTTGCCAAGAGTACAGGGAGCTTCAAAGTCATGGCTTCGACCCTTCCGTAGGTAAATTCATTACAATCGAATTCAATCAAATTAAGCACCATCCTTCCCTTTGATTATGGGTTGAAACGATTTGGCTTATGTTGGACCAGGGTGGCTTGCCAATGTTGACAGGTGGAACCGAGGTGGAGCCATGGCGCCTCCGAACTTTGCCACAGGCATGGCTCGTTAGACCTGAGTACTTCGCTGTTGGACTTTCGGATTTCTATCTTTTGTGTATTAGCTTTAAATTCAGATATTGAAATACAAAAACAAAAGAAGGAAAATAAATAATTGTAATGTCAGGAAAAGGGTTATTAATTTCTGTAAGATATACCGTAATTAATAGATGTACGTGCTCAATCATTGCTCTTTCTTTTTGGCGTCACGTTTATATAGAATTTAGGGATTTTTTTTTTTAGTTTTCAAAGATAAGATACTTTTAAACATATTTTTTTTAATTGTAAATGTTTTTAATTTACAAAAAAGAATTTTAGATAAAATTACCTTAAATGAATTTCTTCATATTCATGTGCACGTATTGAAAAAAAAAAATTATTACACATCATATTGAAGGAAAATAGTTATCATATACTATGTTTTTTTTTTGTAATGATTACAAGAAATATAACAAATAAAATAACTTCAAAAGCTAATTATCCAAATTTGAGATTTTAGATAATATCTTTTTATCCATATCTATTTCATCCTAAGAGTAACGTTAAATAACTTTTTAATACATCTTCTTTTCCATGTTAATTTTTTTAAAAAAAAAATTTATAACTATCGTGAAGCTAATTAACTCCAAGAGTTTAGTCCTAATGAAGAACAAAGATAGAAATCAAGTTACAGTTATTAAATGCAATGTTCAAAAAAATGTTATTACACGACATATTAAAAAAAAAAAGTTAGTACATGCTGTTTAACTCCAAGAGTTTATGTTCTAATAAAATACAAAGGAGCAAGTTACATGCCATGTTTAAAAAATATTATTGTTACATATCATGTTCAAAAAATTTGTTACATAATATTTTGAAAAAAAAAACATGTTGTTACATGTAGACATGTACAAAATTATATTGTTACACACCATGCCATATTCAATAGATTTATTATACATCAAGTGCATTAAAGTTGTTACATACAGACATGGCATATAACAACTCTAGATACTGTTCTAATTTACAAATTTTATTTCACTTATAACTTCAACCCATCAATTTTTGAATTTTGTGAATATAAACCAATTGTTGATTTTTAAGAAAATTTTACAGAAAAATAAGAACTCTGAAAATTTTCAAAAAAAGAAAAAGATGTACAAAGTAAGGAATTTAGAGAAAAAAATTTCTCTCACCTTCATTTAGAGTTTTTGGATATATATATAATTACAAAATATCAAAAACTACTAATCCAAAGATGTAGCCTCTAAAAACAAAAAATCCCAAATTAGTTTTATGTGATCAAAGGGTTTTTTTTTTTTTGAATTTGAGAAAAGGGGGATTCGAATGATTATCTAAGTACGGAAATCATGTAACAATTACTGAAACCAAATATTTGTATGCTTACAAGATCGAAGTCAATAGATTGAATAATTGGTAATGATATATCAAAATGAGTTTGATTATTTGATTTTTATATTTAGAAACCATCATCATTGAATTAAAATCAAACTTTTACAGTAGCAATGATAATGAGAATAATACTCTTTAATTTTGAGATGCTAATCAAAATCCAATTAAAAGTTAACTATTAATATTCTACTCAAACTAGATTAAAAATCAATACCTAGTACCCAAACCTAAATTCAAAAGAAAAATTAATTTTAAAATTAATTTTTATATACATTATCAATGAAAATTAAATTAATAAATTAGAGTTAACTCATAAAAAAATAAATTAAAATTTAAGGTAAAATACTCTGACCTCCTTCACTTTTAAGCATAATTTCACGTAATTCTATTAGTATTTGAAATGGATAGTCTGTTCAAAAAATATCTTTCACTAGACACAGAGGTCCTACCATTAATATCTATTTATTTGATAAATTTTGAGACAATTTTGCCCTTCTTTCGATGTTCTTGCTAAAACTAAGAAGTTCCTCAAGCTAAAAGCTAAAAATCAAAATTTTTTACTAAAATGCTTTAGATTTCTTACTAATTTAATGGCACTCCACAAAAGAAGAAATGATAAACCTAATTTAGGAAAAAGATTATTTCAAGAACAACAAAGGATTAGTTAAAAATCCAGATTTGTAACTGAAATGCTCAAGATTTCTTACTGATTTTTAACACTCCACAAAAGAAGAAATGAAGAAAGGAATGGAGGAAACAGATCATTTCAAGAACCAGAGATGGGTTTTACCCTTCAAGCTTCTATTGTCTACAATCTTGCTAGAGAACTTCCATTTCAAGAACCACGGATAAATGTCATGGAAGAGTTAGTGGGTGTGGTAGCTAAAAAAAAAAATAGAAACTGCAAAATGATCTCTAACTTTTCCATAAAATCCATTTGTAGTTCTTGAATTGATTTAAAGTAGGGGCGAAATGTGGGAAGAGGGAATAGAAAATGAAAGTTGAAGGTTGCCTTCAAACAAACCTATAATGAGTTTACTTCTTACAAGCCCAATCTAGTGGTTGAAACTCTCAGCCATGTTGTTGGTCACATAGTCACTCTTCACACTTGGGTCAAAGATGTTCCTTACCCAGTGTGAATGGTTTTTCCACCAACCAACTGTATGCCTCTACATTTTCAACTTTAATCTTCTTCATGGCTTCATTCCAATCCCATTAGTTGTATGTTTTTACAACTTTCCAAAAGTTTACCTTCATGTCCAACCCTAAAAATTTTTGCCTAAAATTGCTATAAAGGTGTCTAGCACATCTTTGAGTGGCATGGGGCATTTTCTCTATAATTATAGCATCTAAGCCCTACCACATAAGAACAAGTAACAATTAACAATTAATTGAAATTAATTAATTAAGTGTAAAATAGTAAGGGTTTAAGGTTTACTTTTTGCCCATCACTCATCACTGTCAATGGTTTGTTGAAGTCCTTAATGGCAATATTAACCAAGTTCAAAAACTAAGACCATAAGATACTATTCTCCAAGTCCACCACAATAACTACAAAAGGAAACAGACCATAATTCCCATAAATGGTAATAGTAGATAGCAAAGCCCCTTTATATAACCTTTTGAGGTTGTAGCTATTAACCCTAATGAAGGCCTACATCTTTTGTTAAAGCATTTCCTTAAAGCATCAAATAGTGAGAAAAACCTTTTGAAAGTTGGGTACATGCTCAACTTATGCTTCTCTAGCTGCATGATGGCTTTGCTCCCAAGATTTGTATCCTTCAACATCTGGGCATACAGGTGCATGTAAGAATAAAACCTATCATGAGTCCCTTCAGACTCCTCTCAAGCCCTTTTCTTTGCCCTTTACAACTTCTTAGAATAAACACTCACTCCATACCGCTTTTGTAATTCATGTTGCATCATATTGTATGACATATTTGGATTAGAGTACAATTAAGTAGCAAGCTTGTTAGCAATCCAAACACTTGTAGTTGTAAAATTATTGTTACTAATTCTAATGCAAGAATATTCATTCCCTACTTTCCTAATCTTAAAAGTTTTCTTTCCTATCCTAACATATATTTGCTTGAACCATCCACTCACAAACCATTACCTTTGTAAAAAGCCTTGAACCTAGTTTTCTTATTTTTTACTCTATACAACTCTATCCCTTTTTAGATCATATAATCAACCATCACCTCTCTAAAGTGCTACCCACTTGTAAAAAGCATATTATTTGTCAATACAACCTTTTCATTCTCATTAAGAGTATATGGTATGCCTTTAAGGGACCTATCTATTGTTCTACCTTCCCTGTCAGATTCATCACTATCTTAGTTCCCTTATTCTACATCAATGCCAATATCAGAAAAAAAAAAAAACCCAACATTCCCTGTATCTTCTTCAACCATAACATTTTCCGCATCATTATCCTGGTTGCCTTGAAATTCCTCACTTTTTATCTCAAGCATCCAATATACATTTTCACTAGATACATCCTTTCCATCAATTGAATCACTACTTTTGCTATCTAAATCAATACTTTTTTCATCATTAATACCAATAATAGCAAAATGTACTTCACATCTTTTGCTTGCACCAACTCTATATCTACCTCTAACCCTAAACTATCTACCTCTACCTGAACTTGAACCACCTCTATTTAAAGTTTCGACTTTAATCTCTATTTCAACGTTACCTGAAATAGAGTCACTAGGCAAAATACAACTAGACTCACTAATCTTGCCTCTGCCAGCATCTAAACCAGCATTAACAGGTCTAGTAAAGGCACATGCACTAGCCATTTTTTGCAACAAAAGACTTACCATATCCCATTGTCTGCAATGGAATAGTAGGAATTAGGTCCAAGTACATATGAATTTCCTTCCCTTCATAGACTTCAAACAGCTTCAACACATCACCATCACTCTTGAAATCCAGCACCTTCTTTAATTTAAGGTGTTGTATAATAATAGAGACACCCATTCCAACTCTAGCATTAGAATAGTCCACCAATACTTCAAAGATATCATTTGTCAACTCTATGTAGGAATATCTTTCTAGATCAATATTGTCAATAGTCATCACTTCTCTGTCATGGTGCACCACCAAGTTATTCAACATCTACACCATGTCTAAACTTGAAAAACCCAATTAGAATAGGTTAATAACTCTAAAATATTAAGCAATAACCCTAAACCCAAATGCTCACTCTAAACCTCAACCAAATTAAAATGTATTTTTAAAACCCCCAAATTTGAATCCAAAAGTCCCAATTTCCAAAACCCAAACCTTAATTCCTCAATTTATTTATTTAAGATTTTGGAATTGAGGATTTAAGGATAATGCTTAGGTTCGGCCTATTTTCCAAAACATTAACCCTAATTCTCTAATTTAAGGCTTTAAGGTTCTAAGTTTGGGTCATAACCCAACCCTCAACCTGAACCCTAATCCAAACCCTCTCATACCTTCACCACATTAACAACAAACAAAAAACCCTAAACCACAAAACTCCTTCCTGCACATGAGGACCACACCAACAAAAGTCAACCCCAAACCACAAAACCCTAGCCTTGGACAGAGTAGTTAATAGTGAGCAAAATTCAATCAAAACTGAATC